TTAGAGTATGTATAAATATTGCTGCTAGCCACTTGACTGAACAATAGATTGAGTATGTGGTCAAGATGATGGTTTAGTGTTGTGCTTTGCATTTGATTCTAAATGAAGAGAGAGGATTAAGCTCCTTATACTGTGCCTCACATGTCTGTGATCATGATGAAGTTTCATTCAAAAACTATTTTTGAAATTAATAAAACTTTATGAAAAAAGATATACCCAGGATGTTTATCTCATGTTCATTCAACTCTTCATTAGTGCTACTATGTCTCTTTTATTGTTTACTCTTTTTTCTATGCTTTTTAACTCTCTTTTAACATTTTTAATATACATTTTTACATTTGTGACTGTTGCTTTTTTGCATTTTGCAGACATAATTTTTAATGCAAAATTTGCTCTTGGCAATGTAATGTTTTACTGCGCATTATACCTATACCTATATAATAGAGTATGTGACAAAAGATTGATTGAATTATTTAATTAATTAATATTTATATTTGGGGGCAATGGAGATGCTGCTCCTACAAGTGGTAGAAGCAGTGCACAAGTTACAGCCCAAACCACTGGGTATAGTATTAAAGAAGCTCAGATTTTACATACATCAGCTTACATTATCACACTGTGAAAACACTTGCTGGGTTCTTGGTCCCTGGCAAGAGCTTTCTTTTTTCAACTTAATATAGATAAATCACTCAGTAAAAGGAACCCATTATGCTTTTCCTAATTTTCAGTCATATATATACTCTAGTGGAATCAGAATAAATATTGAGCACCCTTTTACCAACAACAAAAGTCAAACATATGTCTCTGAAAACATAAAAAAAGAGCACATCAATCATTTATTCAGGAAATTGTAATGATTAGGTTGCAATAATCCATGCATTGCATTGGATAAAAATAGGTTACAAGAGAGACTAATAATGTCCCTGCTATTGTATCTACCTTTTGTAACATGAATGCGGGAAATCTGTAAAAACAAGCAGGGGTATGTTTGTAGCAATGAAGCAGGCTCAGTGTGAAGGAAGCTGTGCTACAGTCATGCAGTGAAAAGTGGAGATGATGAAGTTATCAGCCTGGATAGAGAACGATTTCTTGGATTGACTGTAATAAAAGGGTATACTGTGCATGCAGGTAGAAGAAAAGAGCATGAAAATGTAGATAGAGTAGGTGCACTTGAAAAACATCATAGTTATTACTCATATTGCAGGAGTGGGTGTTTCTTATGAATACCCTCCTAAGACGGTGATGGCAGTCTTCTCCACCACCTTTGACTTGATTGAGTCATGTTAGCACCCAGTAAAGAGCAACTGAAAAGAACAAGAAAGAGGGTATATGTAAAAGAAGGAACATAATACTGTAGCATCAGTGTTTGACTACCCCACTAAACTTTTTTATTTTGTGACCATATTCATTGCATGAAACAAAACACTGTTCTGCTAGTCCATTCACCAAGTGTCCCTAACTTCCCATAGTCCCATAACATTTCCTTCGTATAGTAATTCGTCTGTATTGATCTGTTGGGGCAGAAAGGTTTGACTCGATTAGACAGCCTCTCTAGCATGAAAACAATAAAGTTCAAATTCATACCTTACTGGATTGACCTGGTCTGTTACAACAGTAGCATAATATAACTTAGAACCATGTATATACAATATAGGTAGTCCCAGTATGAACCTGCTATCATTCTCAAGCTAAATGGTCTTAATAATTTGAATAAGTAATGACTTAAACATCCTGTCAAACAATTTATTCAGCTGACAGTAATAGTTATGATGATAATATGTAAATTGTGGGTAAAATTTTTTTGGGGTAAAAAATTGGCGCTGCCCCCCCCCCCCCGACCCTGTACGCAGAATAAGCGGTTGACGATGGATGGATGGATAGATATTCACAGTATACAAGCTGATATGGATAAACTAATGGCTACACAGTGCAGACGAGCAAACAGAAAGCAAAGGTTGCTCTAGCAACTCTTGTGTTTTTAGTCTATTTATCTTTTTCTTTTTCTTTTTTTACACATTTTGCTTGCAGCTCCAAACTGTGCCCTCGGACTCAGTTTCTCTGGGTTGCTCTGCATTCATGAAAGAACAATGTGGCCAGAGTTAATGATAGCTTGTACAAATTGCACTGTGACTGTGGCCAGGCTACAGACATTAATTGGTGCATTATGTGAGAATGAATCTCCTAATGAAGCACTAGTTTGACCATGTGCTCCCGGGGCCCTTCCTTCTGAGGAAAGCTTTGTCATGGTTTGTGATAAATGGTTACAAATCTTAGCGTTTCTTTGAAGACTAATATGCAACGCAGCAACTACAAACTAATTACAGCCCATTGCTCTCTTTACCATAGTCCTGTCTGAATTCCCCTATGCATATCTATAGTGTATTATAACGAGAATTGGCCTATTGTATGTATTCTTGAGTAGTCATAATGCTGTCAACAGCATAATTACAGTATCATGTTGTTGGTAATAGTAAACTATTGACCGCAAAAAGGTAGTGTAAAAGCAGCCAGTGGGAAACTGAGACAGTGATCCAGTATATGTACCTCCCTGTGTGTGTGTGTGTGTGTGTGTGTGTGTGTGTGTGTGTGTGTGTGTGAGAGAAAGAGAGTAGGCGTTCTCATGGGAAAACATTGTGTCACTGCTAGTATTTTGTTCAGAGGGAATGTATACATAATGTGCTAATATTCAACGCCTCTTGTTTTGCCAGCAAATTTATGCAGATGAGGTGAATCTGTACTTTTCTGCTGGTATTTGCATAATCTTCACATACCTTGGGGTTCCAATGTGGCAGGACTGAAGTGATGAAATGATTATCAGCTACTTGAAATGGATTCTTTTTACCAGTCTCATCTCTTCCTCTTTCTGTCACTGTTGACCAGTTGAACTGAAATAAGGTCTTTGCCAGCATTTGGCTGGACAGCTAAGGTGTACAAGAAGTCTTGTCATTTAAATGTCGTTCAATTCCACAGTATTATGACCAGGAACAGTCAGTTCACAGAGATTCCTTAAAGGATAAGGCTGTTGATGTTTTTTATTTGTCAACAAAACACCAAAAAACAACATTAAATTGATCCTACTAACAAGTATGATGTGTGTAGTGTATCTATAGCCGAATATATCTTATTCCTCTGTGCTGTCGAGCTCCATTGTTGTCAACAAACTATGAAAACACACCAATGACCCATATTGTTTATAGTGTTTTTTCATTACCAAGATCATGGGCTCTGTAGATTATTGTTTAATTATTGAGTCAAAATTGCATTCACTTCTGTCATAAATACTGAGGAGAGCACCAAATCTGTAGCTAAAATAGTCCACAACAAATACATAATTTACTTAATTTTGTTAGAAATGACTGCACCTCCTTTATCTCCTTAACGCCTGCATTTCTTTACAATTATATAAGAAAATGTATTATTTTTGTTTTCATTTGCTTTCAAGCTGATGCTAAATTAAGCGGAGATTATTAATTTATCTATAGAACATAGAAAATATATAAATTCAGGTATGACGTAGATGACGTAGGTTTGCGAGTTAGCGACAACAAGCATAAACAAGAAACTAGTGCTTGCAAAAGGTTCCTAGGTACGTATCGACTATGCGGTGTGATGCAAATTTGCAACAATCTGCGTTAAGGGGTTAACTTATTTTGGTCTCCCCCAACCCTGAGAAAAAACAGTTAGGTTTTTAGCTACTAAATGCACCCATATGTTCACCAGCTTGTTAATAACTGTGTCTGTCACTGGTGCTGGGCAGGTAGTGTACAGTGGGTTTTCCAGAGCTTTTCTAAAGAAACCTGCTGGCTGATGCTGCTGAAAACAATCAAAGAGAGCTGTGAAACTGGAACAGCATAGTTAAGTTATAGGCTGTAAAACCAAAACAGTGAGTTAAAAGACACTAAAATGCTCTGTAGAGCTGAAGGGAACTACTGGGTGATAATTCTTTGTGGTTTTGTCACTGCGAACGACACATTTCACAAAACACATTTGACCAATTTTTCAAATTCAAATATTTTTTGTTGTTGGGGCTTTAAAAATGTTTAACTTCTAATGCAGCATTTTGATAATCATATTTCATGGCAGTGTCTGATTTAAAGTTCCTAAATATTGATACTAATTATATCACCAGGATTCAAAAGCAATCAAATCAAACTTTGAGAGCTTAATCAACATCCCACAGGTAACAACATCAATTAATTATTAGTAAATTAGTTTTTGAGATGTCATGGAAATAAATGTTAACAAACAAGACCACTACTGAGGATACTGACGGGCTGAACTGACTTTTATGTTGCAGTAATACGGAGCAACTGGATTGTATTTGGTGGAAAGAAGTGTTGGGTTAGAAGGGCAGGAAGGGAGTCTTTTTAAAGCACAAAAGTAAACAGTTATTGCCGAGACAGGCATGCAAGAGTGACCTTACTCACTTACTGCCACTTCATGGCTGGATTGCTATTGGATATCAAAACAATATATCAAGCAAATTGCAGATGACACCAACCACCTCAGATGGTTTGAGAAAACGTTTGTCTTGCTCATAGTCCATGTAGTCCCTCCAGACGAGTCAAAAATTTCAGCAATTACCAAGGCTTCAGGTGCATTACCACCCCCCTATGGGCTAAAGTGGGGCTGACTGTGATTTGCATTTTAAACAGAGGCAGATTGCAGTCAGATTTCTGATGGGAACGGAGAAGAATATATGCGGATAAGAATAAATAAAAGTGTATAGAAATAAATTATATCCTAATACAAGACACTGGAAATGACAAAATGGGCCATTGATTTTATAGAACAAATCAGGTATAAGAGAAAAATGTTCATAAATGTGTGACAATTTGAGTCAGAATACATTTGACCTCCTTTTATTCTGGCTTGCTGAAGTACCTTCTCAGACTCTTTTGTGTGTGTGAATGTGTCTATATGTAATGTAATGTGCTCTCCTTCTCAAATTAGAGTTAAACCGAGTGTGTATTCACCTTTTAATGTATTTATAATTTCAGGGAGTTCAGCCACTGGAAAGTGAACAGCCTGGCAACAGAGAAGAGAGATTTCCTCAAAGCTCCATTGCCCTTAGCGCCAGAGTTCTTACGCAACCTGCGGTTACTGGGGCGACGACCAACCCTGCAGCAAATCAACGAAAACCTCATCAAGAAGTATGGGACCCACTTCCTAGTTTCTGCTACCCTGGGAGGTAAGGAAGGACTGCAGACGCCACACTCACTTTTTTTCTTGGGTTAGGAAGTGTCACGACACACAAAAATAGATGAGCTACTACTTTAGGTCTCCGAGGACTTCACAGTAAAATACACTAGTTACAGCCTATGTTGTGTGAAGGATCCATATACTTCCTGTTTTTTTTAAACAAAAAATGTCAGGTGAAAAGCAACTGTACCACACCTTGCACCTGCAGCATTCAACTGATGTTGTTTCCTCAGTAATTTTCCACTCATCCTTTCCTCTGATGAACATTGCGCACAGCTGCAAGAGCCTTACGAGGCAGAAAAGAGATTAAATTGAACCGTTTTTTTTAGCATATGTCTGTTTTTATTGGATTTCTTTTTTCCTCTCCGAGGAGAGAAGTAATTTACAAAACAGAAACACCAGCTGTATAAATCATGTGCGCCTCATAAAACATGACTGAGACCTGTGTTACGTTTAGAGCGACAACCTCATGATATTGATACGCTGCTGATCCTGGTCATCAGATAGCAGGCCGGATATATGAGCACATTTTTACACTTGGCAGTTTTTTATAATGGGACTTGTAGAAAATTGATAGTGAGTATAAAAACATCTCAGCATCTAAGCATCTATTTAATCAGAGTCAGGGGGAGACTTACAAGGCCAGGTTACTCAGATAAGTCAAACCCTGTAATACACAGTGAATTTATAAAATACTTTCTCACTTTTGAGAGATATAATGGACTTTAAATTATGACAAAACACTATCATTTGAAACCAATGTTACCCATACATCTTGTTAAGCAGGCCATGGTAGCTACTGACCCTTCACACACTGTTCACATACTACAAAAATCCTGTTTCCTTCGCATACAGTCTCATAACAATCTGATATTTTAGTGATGTGTTAGGTTTGCTTTCACAGACACCTAACTTTGTCGCCACTTATCACTGGATGTATGCACTGGCGCATCAGCGTGGGAGCACAGATGAATCCAGTGGCAGACAGATAGACTCTGTATGTAATTAACTGTCTCAACTAAATGGGCAGAGCCAATCTGCATACTGAACAGACTGTGGCTGAGTGAATGCCCACATCTCTCATCTCAGTTTTTACTCTTTTGTTCTACTGTTTTCATCTCTTTCTTTCTTGCCACGGTTACATTGAGCTGTTTTTGCATAAATATTAGCTGGGTTGAAGTGAATTTATTCCGATATTAACATATCAAAAATAAAAAAATGTAAATAATTAGTCAGTTAAATGGTACTTTTGGGAAGCTAAGCAAAGAAGAGTTCCTGGTAATAAAAACTTCAATTATTTGATTATTAGCAGAAAGTAGTGTGCTTGACATGCACACCGACCCGTTACATCGTGTACCCCCCCCCCCCCCCCCCCCCCGCATTACGCTCCTCTCCACCTCCCAAAATATATTTTTAAGTAAAAAAAAACACATTATGCTCATTAACAATTAGTGCATCCGCGGTAATGTTGATTGATGCGCCAAGCATGCAAGGCGCAGCTGGTCCTGAGATTTCTCTGTAGATGTCAGTAGGTGCTAAGGGTATTGCAACAATTCCCCCACCTCCAGGTGGCTTAGAACATTTGTATTGTTTTGTTTAGTTCTGTCGTGTTATACCCCACATCTCCCAGTTCCTGTCCCTTGCAATATCTTTTGTTTTAATTATTGTGAGCAGAGTGAGTTTCCCCAGATGGTTCCCTGTAACCTATTTCCTATAGTGTCCTATAAATATATATATATTATATATATATATATATATATATATATAATATCATTTCCATTAGTTGCCGTTTATAATGACTAATGAGTAAAAACCATCACGGGACATGAAAAAATACAACCTATTGTGTTTTTGGTAGGACTTCAGTGTTAACAGTCCTATAATTGTCCAATTAAAGGGAATGGAAGCGTAATATTATTCAATAATAAGTATTATAAATACACATTTTTTTTCGTTACAGTTCACTGTAAAATAATCAAATAGAGTTCAGGTGACTGAAAGACTGACTAGATTTTGATCTACAGGGGAGGAGTCTTTGACCATTTTCCTGGATAAGCAGAAGCTGAATAAGAAGTCAGAGGGTAACGGCAACAGTTCAGTGGTGTCTCTGGAGCTGCTCCATCAGCTGGCTGCTTCCTACTTCACAGATCGCGAGAGCACCCTAAGACGACTGCACCACCTCCAGATCGCCACCTCTGCTATCAAGGTACTGTCAACATGTATGCAGGGATGTACTTGCTAAGCCTACTACAGTACATATTATTTACTTTCAAGCTGTGCTGTAAAATGTCTGTTTCAATATACGGCACCTATGCAAATGCGTTGTTTATTTGCTATATGCACAGTCGTGTTTGCAGCTCTCCAGTTCCACAAAACACCACCCATCAAGGTAGACACGCAAACATTAACACTCCTTTGGGATGTATTACTCTGTGCTGCATCTATAACAAGTAGTTCTGCTTGCTCTCAAGGTATGCACACAAACAATCTTTTTTAAAGATTATTTTCAAGGTGCATCATTGCTCAAAAGCTGGGGCAGAGACGAGAGAGAGCTTGCAAGGACATTTTTTAAAAATGGCAGGCTGGATTAAAAGTACATTGTATACATTGTAGCCCACAGAGGCACTAAAACATGGCAAATGTCAAGTTTATTTAAAGTCCCAGTGGGAATCTTTTATTTATATATACTGTACTGTACTGTATACCATCTGGACTTGGTTACAGGAAGTTGTGTGCTCTCCTCTAGGTGTGCGTGCACTCTTATCACTTGAGGTTTAAAACACCTGGCAATTATCTTTAGTTTTGCAAAAAGCTGTTTGGTTTTAACACAGCATCTTTTTATAGCACATAAGCCAAATGATTTAGTTTACCTGCACACTCATCACTTGACTCCCCGAGATGTGTCATCTACCCAAAATCCACCACCAGGCTTTTACTAGCTCAACATTAAATGCAAAGATGAACAGTTTTGTTAAAAATCCACTCAGCAAACACAGAAACCTAAATCATATTATCTCCTCTGCATGGTTTTACCTGGTTAAAATCTTTTTTTCATATGGCAACTGGCAGCAAAGCATAACCAAGTGATACATTTTTCACATCGGAACAGATCTGTTGGCTTTCATGCGGTGACAGCAGGTGTGTGGGTGGGTGGACTGTGCTTTCATGCTTCAACTTAAATAGCAAATCTGATGGAAATGAGTAATTGCCAGTAAAGTGTCAGCATTGTGTGTACCTTGTATAAGGTGGCTCAATTCCAAGTGCCGTCGCTGAAAACGCTGTTTCTGGCTTGCAGTATGCAGAGGTGAGATTGACCATTTTTGTTCCCAGTAGTCACTTTAAAAGCAACACTGAAGCACTTTGCATGAAATGTATTTTCATGCAAAGCATTGGATGGTTGTGTATAAGAAACGGGAAACACAAAGGTCTCCTGGACTCAACACAAATTGCTATAACCTATATAGAAAAGTTTCATTAGTATAAGAACATGAAATTGAATTAGAATTTATATAACATAATTTTAAAAAAATATTTGTTGCACAACATTTTCACAACATATTTGCTACAGGGAATCTGAATCTGAGTGAAAACAGCATCTAGACAAACTTTACTGCAGTGCAGGTTGTACTCGCAGTCAAAAAGAAAAAAAGAAAACTTCTGCAGGCTGAGACCAACAACGTTTGTATTGACAAGCTTTATCACAAAAAACGGTCACTTTAATAAACAAGCAAACATAACAAATAGGAATTTTCTTGCTTACTGAAGTATGCTAAGTATTTAGGCTGCATCTTATTACAGCTGCAACATAAGGCCACAAAAACACATTATCTGCTAAGCCTGAATTAATTATGAACTACTTAGTTTGACACATTTGTGTCTGTGGGGAGAGGCTAATGAGTGACTGTTGCAATAAAACTATCCGATATCTTTCACAAAGAAGTCAGCAATTGTAGATAAGTAAATAGCGATCTGTTTTCTGCATCAGTTAGTCTGATTTCAATCCATCCAGTGATATTCTGTGAAATACATTTTGTACAAATTCAGCTACACACTGCTTCTCATGCCTACCTAACGGCATGTCTTCAGTCAAAATATTGACAGTCAGTTTCTGACAATTTGTCAGATCCTGGGGTTTTGTCTGAGTGGAGCTGTGTTTGTCAGAGTAAGGCAAAATTCAATATGATATGAAGAGAATTTAATTAGACTAAGAGGATGCAAAACGTGACACGATAAGTTATTTTTACAGTGGTGGAAAATAGGGATGTCTTTAAGGTTCTACAAATTAAGGATGTTGAACATTAATATAGCAGCAAACAGTGATTTGCTATGTAAAGATATAGTGGAGTAATGGCATCCTGAACAGAGTAATCTGTAATCTGAGCTCCTCTGTTCTCTGCTGTTCTTTTTTTTTTGGTAGTCACTTCTGAGTCCCTCCTTTTGAAACTACTAGACTCTAACCTTTAATAGTACTTTTGTTGCCTAAACCTAAACCTAAGCAAAGTCGTTTTGGTGCCCTAGTGTTAATAATTACGCTACATGGATTTTGGTCACTCGTCAGATTATTGAAATAGCTTCTTACCAATCTGATACTATTTTAACTGATGTGATTTTAAAGTAAAAGAAGTAGTAATAACAATAACTCTAGTAAACTTAGAGATGAACAATTACAAACCAGTCAACAGTAGCAGTAGCAGACCCCATGGACCTCAAAAGTCCCGGGATTATTGTGTCTGTTTACATATTATACAATTATATAATTTAACAATTGCACATTTGTAATGAATGTTTCTTGTAAAGGGCCCTTGTGTCAAATCTAGTTTTAAGATTTAGTTAGCTGGACCTCCAAAACCGTCAGGTGTTAAGTTACTCTTTAAGGAATATACATCATGAGCACAATAAACAGTAAACAAAGAGTTGTCTATGAAGATTCTCAGTCATCCAGGTCATAGTTATCCAAAGTAGGTTAAAGTCAAGGGCAACTGGACGATACTGGAAGACGCTTCGTCCCTCATCCAAAGGACTTCTTCAGTTCTGACTGACTGGCAGGGAAACTCTATATATATAAACTATATAAACAAAGAGTTGTTTTTAATCAGATTTCTTCAAACTAAATGGCACATACAGAAAACTGTGGCAAAAGCTGGATTATCAACCAATAAAACAGGCAACTGACCCGGGCTCCAGAACCTTCATGGCCCAAGATTGTCTGTGTGACAGGTATTTTGTGGTAATTTTATTTTATCACATTAGTGAACTCAAGAAAAAAACTTACTGGTAGTTACTCTGCAAAATCACCATTACTGTGGGTTCCTGTCAGGAAGTGGAGAAAAGGGACATAGCTAAAAAAGGAAGAATTGCTGTAAAGTGCATGATGGAGAATTTCTACAGTACGCACTCTAGTTTCCCTCATCTCTGCTGCACCAGCTGTCAGTAGCAAGGACAAACCAATGACTCCAAACTATTTTAAAGAGTAGAAAGACCTCCTGTCCGCCCACTTCATACATTTCTTGCAGTTTTGTGACGGGTAAAGTTTATCAAAAGTAACATAAAAAGGAGAGCTAGATGCAACAGCATAACATAAGGAGGGGAACCGAAGCTGCCCCAAAGGTATTATATGCCATCAAAGAAAGAAACAGAGTTGTCACTGCCCAAGCTCAAGAGACTCAGACTGAGAGGAACAAATCAACCTAAATTACAATTCAATGCCTTTGTTGTCAGGTGAAAACGTTTTATTCCAACAAAGTCTTAAATGAAGAAAACAACATTTCCATTTTTGCAAGAATACAGTACAACATTCAGCATGTGTTTTATTAAATTAAAATTAAAAATTAAATAAAAATAAAAGCCAAATAAAAATAAAAATAATGTTCCTTGCTTTGCCCATTTTGTGTGTGCTCTGAAAAATAAAGAGTGTAAAGAGTATAAACAGAGAGGAAAGTTGTAAGACCAGACAAGGGCAAAGGCGTTTCAACGCTGGAGAAACCTCAGAGCACAGAAGTTGTGTATTTGTTTGGCAGTTGAGCTCAAATATCAACAATCCTTCTACAGATTCACTTACTCTCCCTTTAATAAATTTGTGTGTTTGTCCATACTTTCCCCACTGGTTTAGAGTTGGCAGGCTTAGTTGGAAAAAGGTGACGTCACATGCTTCTGTGCATCAATCAGAATTCAGCAACATTTGAATCAGACAGTTTGACAATCAAACTCTTGCTTTTATTGCTGCTTATTCAGTCATGAACTCTCTTACAGAGAAAATTTGTGGGTGCTTTAAATCTTCTCAAGTCTATTGTTCCATCCATGTAGTCATTCATTTTCTGCTGCATATCAGGGTCAGAGTGACAGCAGGCTAGTCTGCCATAACCTCCAGCTTCTCCTGAGGGATCCCAACACATTTCCAAGCCACATGAGATACACAGTATAATCTTTCTAGCATGTTCTGGGTTTATCCCCGGGTCTCCAATAACTTGGCAATGCCCAGAAAACCTGCCAAAGTTTACATGGGTATGATATATATATAATATATATATATATATATATATATATATATATATATATATATATATATATATATATATATATATATATATACTAATATAAATATATAAACTTTGTAAAAACTTTTAGGAATTTGGACTTCAGCTCTTCAATACTTCTATAACTAAGCAATCTAATGAACTCATATTACATGAATAAACAAATGCATCCAAAATGGTTATACATAGCTTAAAGACTATGCAACATATGTGTATATTTGTTTTATTAATTGTCATCAGGATTAATAATTTAATGTCACATTAAAATCAAAATCGCATTCAAATCAAAAAATTTTAAATGCTCAAATGAAACTGATTACCTGTTTATGATCACAGGAATAAAGCAGCTGTTCTCCTTGGAGACTCACAGGCAGGTAAATAGTCCTGTTGTTTGGCAATTACAAACACCAAGTGATTTTGCACACCCGCCTACACACACACACACACACACACACAACTCCCACTTGAAGAGAATCCTTTACATGTTCCTGCTAAATGAGGATCTCTAGTATGCAAGCCACCTGTCGGGCCGTGTTCTGCCAGATCAACTAGTCACCCAAGAGGAAGCGACACTGAGTGGGATGTACTTGACCTGTGTCCATGTGCGCCTCTGGGCTCTTTGTCGCTGCAGCACCGAGTAGGAGGTGGGAGTGAAATACATTATCTTTATCTC